TGTCCACCTAAAGTTTTACAGCACCTCACAGCCACCAGAGCCTCAGGATCTCAGATATTTCTGCTGGAGAGATACTGTGTTCTCTGAGGGGAAGGGAGAGAATTGGGAACTTTTAGGACTTTCCAAAGAGAAAGACCCTTTGCCCTTCTTGGAGATTGTTTTATTATTATTACTTTTTTAAGGCCAGAGATCACTCTCCAGTCAGGGCTCCTTTTGGTGACTGGGAAGGGAAGGGCGTGGAGGTGGGAGTGGGGAGGAGTGGGAATCCTTTAACTTGCCTGGCACCTGCCAGGTGATTTCTTGAATACTACTTGGTTGATGAGCTCAAAAAGGGGGACAGTGGAGAGTATTGTCTGTGTTTTTAGACAGTATACTTCCGAACATGCCTTGCTCAGAAGAGTGTGCCGTACAGGTGTGAGTGTGGGGAGGTCCGTGCTGCCCGGCTCACGTGCTCAGCCCTGCGCTGACTTCAGAATTCTCCTCTGAGTCTTGGATTCATTTGTCGTGCTCCCTGAGACTCTTACTCTCTCTTACCTTGTGGGACTAAAGCAGCCTAGTGGTAGGAAGTTAGATGAAGTTAGAGGATGTAGAGAAAGGAGACATGAAAAACTGAAAAGAACAGGAGGAAAGGAAAGCCCAGGTGAGGCCCAGTTTACTTTTTAGTGCACTAGGACCTGACTCCTGATAGGGTGAAATTGCTTCGCTAGACCCTGCCATAATCCAACCTTGGAAATCAGAGTGAGCCCCACTGGGAATCGTTCATGCGAGCTGGGCCAGCCCCCGTTCCACCTGGAATGGGGAAACCAACCAAGAGCCCTGAACCAACCTCGCTTCTGATTTCCGTGCATTCAGTCAAAATCAATCCTGTTCTAGAGCCTCTTTAGAATAACATGTTTTTAACCATGTATGGTGCCGAGCAAAAGGGATGTGTGGATGTGACCAGAAGCACATTTTTGACTGTGTCCCGGAGACGTCTGTTCATGACTCCATCTTCGTATTATAACTTAATTATTTAACTCCAAAGGCTGGGGCTGTTTATGGAATAAGCAGATGTGCGTCTCAACCAAACCCACAGAGTTTCTTCCTGAAGTGTTTATGAAAGACTCTAACCCAGTCCTTGTTAATCAGTTGATTTTCTGATGTGGTATTTTTTTTTTTTTGAAGCATGAGGTCACGACAGATGTAAAAGAGATCAGCTGTGCTGAGACCTGACACACACCCTCTCCTTACAGTGTATCCACAGGGACCTGGCAGCACGGAATATACTCTTGTCAGAGAAGAACGTGGTTAAAATTTGCGACTTTGGCCTGGCCCGGGATATTTATAAAGACCCAGATTATGTCAGAAAAGGAGATGTAAGTTTCAAAGTTGAACCCAGTGTTCTATCCATTTACAGAATTCAAACTCCTCACAGCAATCTCCAGGACCTGTGTCCAGGACCAAAGGAGGTTTCTCTTCGGATCCTTGATGATCTGGTTTCCGATTCTCTTTGGATCCTTGATGATCTGGTTTCCGATTCTCTTCGGATCCTTGATGATCTGGTTTCCGATTCTCTGCCTTTCTCTTTGTAGGCTCGCCTCCCTTTGAAATGGATGGCCCCGGAAACAATCTTTGACAGAGTCTACACCATTCAGAGTGATGTGTGGTCTTTTGGTGTTTTGCTCTGGGAAATCTTTTCCTTGGGTGAGTCTCTTCTTTTTGTTCTTCCATCTGGACTCGAAGTAGGTTGATAAAAGTTGGTGTCTTTTCCAAGTGTGCTTCACTTCAATCAAGGGAGACTTGTTGGAAGTTTGGAGTTATAAAATCTAAAAGGAGGAAAAAAACACAGATAAATATTGAAGTTATGCAAGAATCAGACTCAGGGCTTTCCATAAAAGAAAACCACATCAGTAACGTCCTGTCCCTGTTCTCTTCTAGGTGCTTCTCCGTATCCCGGCGTAAAGATCGATGAGGAATTTTGTAGGCGATTGAAAGAAGGAACTAGAATGAGGGCCCCTGACTATACCACGCCAGAAATGTAAGACTTTAAAAATAAATTTCTTTTTTTTTGTTCTGTGAGGCAGAGTCTCACTCTGTTGCCCTGGGTAGAGCATCACAGCAATGTCACAGCTCACAGAAACGTCAAACTCTTGGGCTCAAGTGATCCTCTTGCCACAGCCACCTGTGTAGCTGAGACTATAGGAGCCTGACACTACACCTGGCTAGTTTTTCTGTTTTTAGTAGAGATGGGATCTTGCCCTTGCTCAAGCATGTCTCAAACTCCTGAGCTCAAGGAGTCCACTGCCTCAGCCTCCCAGAGTGCTGGGATTAGAGGCACAAGCCACCACACCTGGCCTAAAAAATGCCTTTCTGTTCTCTCCCTCTGTTCACAAGTTTTCCTGCCTAGGAGACTCTCCAGCATATGCTCCTGCGTCGTGGCCCGGTTCATGCCTACTTTTGCCTTTCTTGATAATCTCCAGTGAAGTCGTCACTTCTTAAAATGACAGCACTTTGTTATCCGCCCCAACCAGCCAGTTACTAGACACTGATCTGTAACATTTTCTTCTCTAGACACAGAGCCTGGAGTGTCGGCTCTGTCTCCCGGGTACTGTTGTTTTCCTGTTTCTCCTCTTGACTCAGGGTGGGCTCTTCCTAAGTGTTTAGCGATTCAACTGCTGATTTTCAGCCTCAGATCAAGGAGGAAAGAGGCAGTGAATGAAATCAGTGTTTCTTTTCTCCAGGTACCAGACTATGCTTGACTGCTGGCATGGGGACCCTAATCAGAGACCCACATTTTCAGAGTTGGTGGAACATCTGGGAAATCTGCTTCAAGCTAATGCTCAGCAGGTTTGTAACCTCCATTTGAGAAACTTCTGCAAAAATACTTAGGTGTCAAGGGTTTCCCCTACTGCCTCGACCTTCTCATAGCCACCATGCCATCCTCCTGGCCACTGAACAAGGACCCATGTTCTTCCACATCTGAGCAATAATGCTTTACTATAATAAAGGCTGTGATATACTCTTGGCAGACAGGTGAGATCCTAACTTGGGAGCAGAGCACTCTTATCTCTGCCTACTTATCTTTTGTTGTGTCTCCAAATGCTCTTCTATAATTTAAGGGGGAAAAAAAACCTGATTTGTCCAGAGTATCAACAATGGAATGAATTTCAAGGAATTTTTAACAAATTCTATAGGCAAAACAAACACATCCAAACTATGCAAAATAGATGGTTTCTTCCTTAGTAAAATCTCAGAGCCCCGTAACTTCCATTGCAGGATCTTCGAGTTGTAGCCTTTGCTCGTAGTAAGTTACTTAGTCTACACCTCGTATTCCACAGATGCCAGTTCCCTCCTCCTTTTCTTCTGAATGGCTGGGGAACGATGGGTCAAATCTGGTTTTATCAGTAAAACTTACAGACATTTAAAGATTCAAATTGCCATTTCTTTCACTTGCTGAAATAATGTTAAATTGTGCAACCTTTTCTTAGAAGACCCATTTTCCTACCCATTTACTGTTTTAATTTAGACTGTCCCCAGTTTTTCCATTGCCTTGGAATGTAGAGGCTATAGCTGGACGCCATGCTCTTTGAAGGGCCTGGCTTGCATGGTTGGGGCTTCAGGAACAGGTGAATTCTTAGCTCTGCGCAGCGTGTGTGGCCCTGTGGTGTCTCTGAGCACAGCTGGCTTTGTCTCCACGGTTGTGAGCACGTGCTGTAGACACGGTCCCCTGTGTTCTGCTCATCCAGCTGCTTCTGCTTTCTCTCCTCTAAGGTGCCTTCACATGCACATCCCTTTTAAGTGTCTTTTTGTTTGTGACAAGCCACATTCAATGCTGTCTTCAAGTTCTCTGTTCAGATATGGAAACAACACACCCTATAGCCAAGAAGCCCCTGTGGCCTTTGTTTTCATGAAAAGCCCCTTGAAGAACTGAAGCCATAACAATAGTATGCTGTGTTTATTGTTTCAGGATGGCAAAGACTACATTGTTCTCCCGATATCAGAGACTCTGAGCATGGAAGAGGATTCTGGGCTCTCTCTGCCTACCTCACCTGTTTCCTGTATGGAGGAGGAGGAAGTGTGTGACCCCAAATTCCATTATGACAACACAGCAGGAATCAGGTACTGGATATGGCCAACATCCCCCAGGGAGGGGGCTTCAAGGCCATCTCAGGGCGGCAGGGCGGGAGTGGAAGGGAGATGCATCTAAGGCTGCTGTGTCCCACTGGCACATAACCTTAGCTCTGAGACTAACATGAAGGGGACTCTTTCTGCGGGAGAGTGTGGGGAGGTGAGTTTCCTCCCATCTGTAGCCCATGCTGCTGCCACAGCTCTTCCTTTAAGAGCTCTAAGCCCTGCAGCTGCAATAGCTGGAATGCCACAGTTTGTTAATCTCCAGAAAAAGAGACCAGTTTTACAAAGACATCTGCATTTAAATGGTCCCCATGTACACTTTTATTAATGTGAATGAAATGGCTTAGTAGAGATTCAGGAAGGAAGAGCTCTGTGCCTAGATGAGAATACACTTACGGCTGTCTGGCAAAGACACAGGGTGCCAGGGGCCGGAGTCCTGAATTAGACTGGACACGCAGCTCAGAAGCCCCTCCCATGTCTGATTTCCAGCATTTTATTTGCATAATGGGATGTCTGGGCTTATTTAAAACATATGCACTGCAGTTCTTTCCTGATATGTCAGGGGTTCTGAAGGCAGCTTTCTTTTTTCTCTCTCCCAGCACCTGTGTGTAAGGAAAGAGTTGAGGAGGTTTCTACAGTCTATTAAAATCACCTTTTACTGAGCCTGGGACTCCTTCACTTTGCTTGGTTTCCTTCCCAACCCCTTTGGGTTTTCCTCCTATCACTGGAACCCCTGACCGCGTGGGTCCAGCCTGTCCACCTGAGTGTGCCATGGCTGTGAGGTGGGCCAGAACCTCCCACAAGTGTGGGGCACTTGGCCAGTGTGCCACGTCACAGGGGATGCTGAGGAAGTCCCTGTGGACAGTGTGGCCTCTGGAATAATGCAGGGCAGCAGGGATGCTGTGATGAAAGAGGAGAAAGCTTAGCATGGCTGGAAGCCAAGACAAAGTTGACTGTTCTCTTTATGTCGGACACATTTGGCATTTTTTAAAGGACTTTTCTACAGATCAGCAGACTTTACCCACATGGCAATGCTCAGAGTTAAGCAAGGTGGAAACTATTTTCTTTTTTTTTTAATGTACATGTTGGACAGAAGGCGGAGCTTGATCCAGGGAGTAGAGTGAATGGAACTCCCAGGCCTGCCTCTTGCAGCTGTGTGACTTGGGGCAAATCCTCTAATCTCTGCCTCAGTTTCCTCATCTATGCAATGAGGCAAGGCCACTGGTGCTGTATGAAAATCACTATTTGGAATGTTTCATGATATAATGTATTTCTAAGTACCTGGTACTTGAAAGCACTCAATAAAAGATGGTTATTAAGTGAACTGCTTAAAATCACACCCCTGAGATGAACCACTTCCTTTGACGTCAGACTCAGTGCTGTCCCTCCCATACAAGGAGGGCCCTCAGAGAGAAAGGGCAGTGGAATGAATCTGCAGTTCCACTCCTGTTTACAGACTCTGGTTCTGGTGTGATAATTGTTCCCACCACACTCTTATTGGCCTTTTCTTTACTGCAGTGGTTCTCAACCTTCCTAATGCCATGACCCTTTATTACAGTTCCTCATGTTGTGGTGACCCCCAACCATAAAATTATTTTCGTTGCTACTTCATAACTGTAATTTTTGCTATTGTTATGAATCGTAATGTAAATATCTTATATGCAGGATGTATTTTAATTGTTACAAAGGGGTCGCGACCCACAGGTTGAGAACCGCTGCTTCACTGGGAAGCCATTTGATCCTGACCTATATCTCTTGTGATTGCTGTGACCAAGAGGAGTGAGGATCCAAGCCGGAAGCCTCTTGGCTCGCTGGGTGCTCTGCACATGGTGCCGAGCAGGAGATGAAGTCATGTTTGTGTGTTGCTAACATTTATCCCCAGAAGCGCAGACAAGTGTGACACTGCGCTCCCTACACAGGCCCTGCCTGGCTCCGATTTTCTGTCTGTGATTTTTGAATTGGTTTTTCAGTCCAATTTCTCTTTTATCCAACCATAATTTGAAAAATAAAGTGGAAATGGAAATCTTTTGTCTGCTTCCTCTCCCAACCCCCTCCACCTTTTTTCCTTTGTGTAAAAAATAAAACTGGGGTGGCGCCTGTGGCTCAGAGGAGTAGGGCACCAGCCCCATATGCTGGAGGTGGTGGGTTCAAACCCAGCCCTGGCCAAAAACTGCAAAAATAAATAAATAAATAAATACAACTCTTGGTCACTTTCTAATCATCTGGGTTCAAAGAAAGATAGATCAAGGTCTGTGCACATAGTACTTTCATTTCGATGCTCTCCTGGGGTTCTGCTTTTCTGGGGAGAGTGAGATGAGGCTGGGGTACCTCTCTGGGGGAATGTGGTCTAACCCTCTTTCACATTTCCAGCCAAGTAGAAAAGAGTGGGCATCTTCCTTACTTGCTTCCTTTTTGTGATTTTCAATCCCATCGCATTATGAATAGAGCTGGACAGAGACCTCACTGTGGGAACTGACCTCATGATTTGTTGTTGCCCCTTTGAACCATTTAAAAACTATTTGTTCAGTATTTATTTAGAGAAGAGGCTGAGAAGTGTGTGGGCAAGGACCCCTTGTGTCTAGACTCAGCTGTGTCTCTAAGTTCCCCTGTGGATCAGTGCTGGTCCAGAGTTTGCATGCTTCCGTCTGGCACGAAAACGCATATTCACTGGACTGATGTTTCTTTGAGGGCAGTTTGGGGCCAACTGTGTTGCTCTGTCATTTGCCCTGGGACTTTTACCTCTCACTTCCAGCAGCTTATCAAAGATTTCTTTGCAGTTCTTTACCAGAGAAAGGTTCTGATATGTACCATTTTCTTCATTTTGGTTAATTGCTGCTAATGATTAAATGCCTCTTGTAGACTGATGCTCAGGACAGCCTGGTGACTACACATTTCCTGAATTCAGCAGTGCTGTTGGACTGCTTGAAATGGGACTGTCCTTTCTCCCCCTCCTCTCAGTTTCACGCCCCACACTTACCTGCACCCACCCCTCCTCCCAAGTGCACAGTCAGCGCACACACGCCAGTAAGAGCCGCTCTGCGCATTCCAGCTGCTGAATGAAGACTTCAGTATCACGTCTACTGCTCTCTCCTTTCTATTCACTGTCAGTCCAGTGAATATGCATTTTCGTTGGGAGAGGAAGCAGACGAAAGATTTCCATTTCCACTTTATTTTTCAATGTGGTGTAGGATTAAAAAAAAAAAAAAGAAAAAACCAAAAAGCAAGCAACCCTCCCACGGGCTTTGGAGTCTGAAGACCTAGGTTTGAATCCCGGTTCTAACCTTATTCACCATTTTCTTCCTGAGTCTTGGCTTCCTCATCTGCAGATGGGAAATACTAAAAATACCTATTTCCTCGTCTTGTGGGGAGAAGATGCAATGATGCTTTGTCTGTTGGGAAGGACCATGCTATTTTTAAAATTAAATTGTCCTTTCTGAGGCAGCTGAATTATGGCCCAAGCTCACCGACTTGAGATGGTTTTGCACCCCAGATATCCCTGGAATCCATCCACTTCTCCAAACCTCAAAAATTCCTTTTCTCTAGTCAGGCTGCCCTTCTTTCTCCCAGAGAAGAGTGATGTTTGTCTGGTCTTATCCTTCTCAAGCTAGAGTCAGCTTTCTGAAGGTCTGCCTTTCCTTGTCAGTCTCCCGCCTGAATTCCTTCAGTGGCTCCTCACTGCCCTCTAAAGAGTAACCAGGACATTCTTGTTACATTAGACTTAGATACATAGGACTTTAGATATGTTTCTTGACCTTGTTATGCCTCAATTTCCTCATTCAAAAAGTTGGCACAGTAATACTCATTCCTAGAGAGGAGCCGCTGTGAAGATGGCACGGGCTGCTGCTGGGAGAACACCCAGCATGGGAACCTTCTCAGGAAGGGCTTCTTGAACCAGTGAATAGAAACGTGAGTGACTGTGGTGCCAGTAGTTCTTGAAAACCCCAACTTTTAGGGACTGGACTTAAGAGAAAGCAGGCCTTGCACAATCCCTGTATATACATCCTCTTTCTTGTGGAGTTTTCTTAGTGAGTACAACACTGGCAGACCTCATTCTATCCTCTCTGTAAGGGGAAGAACCAACCTCCGGGGAAGGGGAGAGAGATTTAGTTTCCATTCTCCTCCTTTGGCCCAAGGTCTACTCAGCATGTTCCAGAAGGCAACTTGCAGTGAGAAGTAGGCTGGGGTAGGAATTGAGAGTGGGTTTTCCATCCCTGTGGGCCCTTCCTGTGGCGAGGACTTCTCTCTGTCCACATGAGCTGTATGTGTTCTTGATAGCATCACCCAGACTCATCCAAAGCCATGTGGCCAGGAAGGAGCACCTCCCAAGAGGAGGCGGTCTGTCTTCTGACGCGTTTTATTCTGTGGATAGCCTTTGGAATTCAGAGGGGAAAAACAAGCTTTGATTGACAGAGCATTATTCTTCCTAAGAACAATAAGCTCAACACTGGCCAAATTGTCTTTCCAGTATCTTACTGAGCTAGGGAGGGATTGCTGTTGTCAAAGAGGTTTTTAAAATGGGACATCAGGGACACAGAAATTTCATGACTTTCTCATGTTTCTGTAGTCCATGGGAGACTATGAATTAGGCAAGATATCTTCTGACTCTCAAACCACTACCCTTTCCTGAGACAGGCAACTCTGGGGGCTAAAAATACGAGACAGTGAGACTCAGCCCGTGTTCCTCCGCCTGCTAAGCCGCTATGACATGGGAATGAAGGGTGGTCTTGGGATCACTACTAGGTTCAGAATCCTTTAAGGACACTTACAGGTGTTGCCAATCTTCATTGAATGTTTGTTCTATGAGCTTTCTCATGAAAAACTGTGCGAGGAAATGGCCAGCAACACACGAAACATGTGATAATGTCTCCAGCCCACTGGGGGAATTCCCTGCAGTCAGGAAGCCAAGTGGAAGGCAGCTGATCCCCCATCTGCTGGTGCTGCCTTCAGTGCTGTGGTGAATCTCAGAAGCGTGATTCAAGGAACGGGGATCATCTGGGCTCCTCCGTTATATTATACTTTTAAATGGACTTTCACAGGAAATTAAGCCTTCAGTGTGTGCTCGCAAAGGAAGATTTTTTGTTTGTTTGCTTTGTTTTGTTTTTCTTATTCCAGAGGATGTTTTGAAGGTCACTATTAAACTTGTGGTTGCAAGATAATGAACTTAGGTATCACTTGTAGTATCTGCAGCCAAATATACCACCACTAAAATAAAAATATTTGTTCTTTTGCAGTCAGTATCTGCAGAACAGTAAGCGAAAGAGCCGGCCTGTGAGTGTAAAAACATTTGAAGATATCCCACTGGAAGAACCAGAAGTAAAAGTAATCCCAGATGTAAGTACATATTTTAAAAATAGTCTCAGAAATAATACAAAGCGTGAAACACTAGCTGGATAAATATTACTGTAAGCATTAAAGTCTTGAAGCCTCATTATAAAGCTGTCCTGGGGTCATTATGGAGTTGGAACTTTGGTTTTTATGTAAGTAAAGCCCTGAGTCTGAGGTTCAAGATAGTCTGACTTTATGCCCAGGTTCTCTGAAGTGTGAACAGTATCATGGTGACAGAGGGATGAAACTGGCATCGTTAGCTGCTGCTTCGTAAATTTTCTCCTCTCCTTGGCCTAGGCCTACTTGTAAGAGGCAGTTCCTTTTGTAGCCTGCACGATTTCTAGCTTTGATACCTTAACCTTCCTCTGAAGGACATTGGAGTATATGGTCTGATGGGTTAGTTAAACATCAGTCTAACTAGTGCTCAGAGTATACCCTCAACCAACTGTGCTACCTCATTGTCTCCTAAAAAGGACAACCAGACGGATAGTGGGATGGTTCTTGCCTCAGAAGAACTGAAAACTTTGGAAGACAGAACAAAATTAGCACCACCTTTTAGGTAAGACTCAGCTAAATTAAAAAAGGCAAATTTCAATAGGAATTTTTGGAAGAAACAGGACTTTCAGTGTAAGTGGAGATTTTCCCCTTTTAAAGTATTGTTGGTGGAGAAATTAGCATCAACCTAACAAAGAACTGAAACCAACCTAACAGTGAAATTGGCAACTGTAAAAATTAAATTGAAATAAATGAGAAGGGGGGTGGATGGGTGGAGGGAGGGTGATTGGAGGAATCACTTCTATGGTTTATCTTTCAAGGGTACAAGTGAATCTTTCTAAAAGTAGAATATAAACATCTTAACACAATAACTAAAAAAATGACATAAAGGCTTTGTTAACTAGTTTGATGAAAATATTTCAAATTGTATATGAAAACACCACACTGTACCCCATGATTGCATTAATGTACACAGCTAACATTTAATAAAAAAATTAAAATAAAAGAAATAAATGGGAAGATTTGGTCAATTTTTATAGGAATAATGTATGAATACTCGAGAATTTCTGAGCATATTTACTGTGGACAGTAGTTTGTATGGTACTTGCTGAATGACAAAGAGGTAATCAGATACAGTCCCTAAAACTATCAAGACCTTTGTGGACTCTGCAGAATTTTCAAACCTGAACATGAATGAGTGCATCTGTATTTAGAAAGTACAATATATAAATATGCCAATATATTTTTTGTTTAAGATACTTAAATATTATTGTCTGAATTAAGTTGTAGAAAAATATTGAGTTTGGTTTTGACTGTAATCATCTCTCTATTGCTCAGCAGGAATTTGTAGTTGCTTTGAATAAGTATAGCTGCTTTTAACCTAACAATACATGAACACCTAAGAGTAATAGGATAAGAGTAGTGACTTATTTGCTAAAGAGTTCATTTTAAGTAAGAATTTGGTATAATCTGTTACATGGAATGGGAAGACCCATGAATTTTTGAGTGATACTTAGACAAAAAAAATTAAAATATGCCATTGTGCAATCTTACTGTTTTCTTTAAGGCATATGTAAGAGATTCTGAAAGCCAACTATGTGGTTCATTCAATAACTCAAGAAATATTTATTCAGTAACTACTGTGTGCCAGGGGCCAGGAGTGGCTTGAGATACCTAAACTAGTTTCATTGGGATTGAATTAAAAGAAAAATTGTATTTCTAGTTATTTGAAGTAACTTTTAAACCACATATGAACAGAAAGCTTATAAAATCCTTTTTTTTTTTTTTTTGGCGGTTTTTAGTATGCAGAATTTGGGTAGAATACCTATCAAAGGGGAAAAACACCTTCCAGTGGTTCGAGGGCGTGTAAACCCTAGAGTTTTGGATCAGCAAGTCCACATTTCTAAGCTTTGACATGATCACCCTCTGGCAGGGTCCAGGCCACTGAAAACATTCTCTAGCTGCTGAGTGATCAGGGTCCTCAGTCCTTCCGAGGAATGTGATTTCGATGAGTAAAAAGCCGCGTTTGACAGGTCTGGCCTGATTGCACACACACGCTTCAAGTTATTAAAGTTACGTAAGAAATGTGCTCTACACTGTGAAGCCGGCAGACGATCTAATACCCACCCACGCAAGAGAAAAACTCAGTTCAGGTCAAGGTGGGGAGAGGGGAGGAGAGAGGGGCTGGAGTGCTCCCACTCCGTGGGCACAAGGCAGGGTGTATGGCACACCTCCTGGGGGCGGGACACAACTACAAGAGGGACTCTACCTGACGAAGGCACACGTTGGAACCTAGCTGTTTTTACCCTCACATTAATCCGAAGTAAAAAAATAAAGTCGCTCAAGAACATTATTAACATTGTCCACCTTGCCTCGTGGTCCCCTAATTGACAGAATGGGGGAGAACACAAGCAAATTTTCCGAATATCCCAGTTTCTTTGGATATCACGAAAGCGGCCCTTTGGCTGCTGTCACTGTATACAAACTTGTCAGTCTGCAGGGCTGTAAAAATGTTCTGATGGTGGGAGCCTTTGCATAACTCAGGAGAGCTGCCTTTCATCTCCTCAGAGGCTTGGAAGACCTGGACCTCATACGAGGACTTATCTGCAAACTGTTAATTCCTGGGAGTACCTGAAAATAGACCCTGTGGGTGTGAACCTGATGTGCTGATTAACAGCCCAGGTCAGGGGCAGCTGGAGTCTCCAGGGAGACTGCAGCCCACAGGGAGCTGGGAACAGGGTTAGGGTGGAAAGCAGTGGAGAGAACGGCCACTCATTTGTCTGCCATTTCTTCCACAGTGGAATGGTGCCCAGCAAAAGCAGGGAATCTGTGGCATCTGAAGGCTCAAACCAGACGAGTGGCTACCAGTCCGGGTATCACTCTGACGACACGGACACCACCGTGTACTCCAGTGAGGAGGCAGAACTTTTAAAGCTGGTGGAGCTTGGAGCGCAGGCCGGCGTGGCCCACATCCTCCAGCCTGATGCGGGAGGACCCTGAGCTCACCTCCTGCTTAGAGGAGGTGCCCTGCCCCCACTCTAGATGTCACATGAGAGGTGCTGCTCAGATTTTCAAGTGTTGTTCTTTTGGCCACCAGGAAGTAGCCACATTTGATTTTAATTTCAAAAAGAAAAGAAAAGGACCTTGGACTGCAGGGAGCTTAGTCCTCTGTGCATTTCCTGAGAAGATGCTTGTGACCCAAGAATGTGTTTGTACCTTCTCCCTGTGTCCACCCAATGTTTCTCTTTTTCATTCATTTAAAAAGCATTTATAATAAATACCCCTGCTGCGGGTCTCAACGTGGGTTTCCAACATAGATGGTCAGGAAATGGCTCCATCTTCCAAGAAGTAGCAGGGCCTGGGGAGTGGATGCTCTTGTAAAAGCAGAAGCTGAACTAGGGGACGTACGTGCCATGGGTGCTGGAGATGGACAGGTTGGTGGGGCTGAGTCTGGCTGAGAGGCTCTGTGTGGGCTGTGGGTCCCCAGCCAAGTGTTAAGTGTGGGGTTTGGACAGACAGCAGGGAGGACTCTGGCTTGCTCTGAGAGCGCGGTGGAGCCTGCAGACGCATTGTGCTGGCTCTGGGGAGGTGGGCATGTGGTCTGGTAGGAACTGTAAAGGCTTCAGACGAGGTTTCTGGTTTTAGAAGGTTGCGTGCGCCTCGCAGTTGGGCTAAAGGAGAGTTCCTTGTGCTGTTTCCGACTCTTAATGAGCGTTCCTTCCGGACCCTTACGTGTCTCCTGGCCGAGCCCCAGGAAGGAAATGATGCAGCACTGGCTCCTGTCTCCCAGGCCCATCCTCTATTCAGAGCCCCACAAAGAAAGGACATTCAGCCGGGGCTCCCTGCCGTGAGGAAGGGCTCTGATGGCACAGAGCAGCTGCTGGTGCCTTCTGGATGAGCACCCCGTGTCTGTCCTGATGTGATAGGTCTGGGAGTGAACGCAGCGGTTTGGTGTCAAGCTATGGTGCCAAAGCGTCAGGAAGGAATTGACCCTTTGTTCCTCCCCTACCCGCAGCCTAACTCTCACCCCAACCCCGTCAGTATTTTAGTTATTTGGCCTCTGCACTCCAGTAAACCTGTTGGGGTTTGTTCACTCTCTGAATGATTATTAGCCAGATTTCAAAAATTACTTTATAGCCAAAATTATAACAACATCTATTGTATTATTTAGACTTTTTTTTTTTAAACATATAGAGCTATTCCTACTGATTTTTGCCCTTGTTCTTTTCAGTTTTTTTTTTTTTTTTTTTTAAAAGAAAATGTGTTTTTCATTTGGTACCATAGTGTGAAGTACTGGGAGTGATGACTACACAACATGCTATGGCACTTATATTTATAGTCTGTTTATGTAGAAACAAATGTAATATATTAAAACCTTATATTATATATAATGAACTTTGTACTATTCACGTTTTGTATCAGTATTACGTAGCATAACAAAGGTCATAATGCTTTCAGCAATTCATGTCATTTTATTAAAAAAACGTTGAAAAACTTGAAAGAATCTCTTCGCAAGGTTGCGTTACTATACTTATTATTTTCTCACTTCTAAAGTGGAGCAGGAGGAATCAGACAATTTCCACATGGTTGTGTTTTCTTCTTATAAAGGATTATTTTCATAAAATGTTTATACTTTATAAATCAACAAATACATTCTTAGTAAAAATAGAATGCATCATTATCACAGCTATTTTGGGGACAAGCATTCTGAGGTCTGATTTCTTATTCCCTTCTCTTCTTTATCACAGAGACAATTCATCCACACGAACCCCCTAAACACACACACTTTCTTATGTTTTGAGCATTTCTGAGAATGTCAAGACAATGGCTGAGATGTGAATGAGTCTGTGGTCCTCTGGGAATCCCATGTTTGTTAGAATAGCCAACCATGAAACTCAGGGGGTGAGAGTCCCTGAGACAGGTGGCCACCCCAGGGCAGTGCAGGGAACCCGGGAGCGTGTCACTTTCTGGTGGCATTTTGTTGCACATGTACAGGGTCAGACCATCACATCCACTGCTGCCATAGTGAATGAGACTTTTGCCTGAATTCAGCAAGCGTGATCAATTAATAAATCACTGGCACCAATAAGTGACCTTACTTATTTGTGAAACTTTTTAGACAAGATTTTGAAATGTTTATATCTAATCAAATATGCCTGTCTCTCTTGTTTAAAATGGCTTCTAGGATTTTTGTTTTAATCTAATTAAGGAAGGTCTTCCCACTTCTTAAATAACCCCAAATTCTAAATTTTCTTTTATTGCTGTTAAATCCATTTGGAATCTTCGTATATGGCGTGACTTAGGAGTCTAATGTTAACTTTCTTTTCCATGCAGATTGTCAATCATGGAGGCACCATTTATTAAATATCCTCTCTTGTCTATGGTTAGGGAAATAGCTGTTATGTCATGTTTCCAACCCTGTCACTTCACTGAGACATTCTGTACAACTGTGTGATGAAAAAGAGGGACGCTATGCGTGTGTGCTGTCCCTGGGGATGGCGCTGAGGGACGGGGGACTGGCTGGAATGAGAGCAATAGGGTGTTTTGACAGAGTTTGGTAAACTATGGGGCAGGCTCGCCTATAACCTCTTCCAGGAAATGGATGGAAGAAGAGTCTGCCTTATTCATGACAGAAGAGACCTTGGATAAAAACAGGATTTTTCTCCACTTTAGGAAAAAGAGAAGATTTTGTTTCTCCTAAGTGGCTCCTGGCATTGCTTCCGTGCCAGGAATTTGGATTCAGCTGACGCCTCACACTCTATTAAGAAACGCTTTCGGCACCGGGGCAGGATGATGAGGAGGTGAGGTTTGGCCTGCCTCCTCTCTCTGCTGTCTACATGCCTCTTGTTCTCAGCTCTTCTCTTCTCATCTGTGCCTGTACTGAAGAAAAATCTGAGGCTTTTAAAATGCTTCCTGCGTGGTCTTGTCTTCCAACCTTTGGGGGCGTTTGCTGTGTTCTGGGCGAGAGCTCACCCTGCCCCTTGCTCCTGCCCTGTCTCCTTTGCTCCCTAGATTTGTTCTCACGTGTCTCCTACCCCTCAAACCCTTCTGTCCCCACCTTCTATCTTCTTCCCACTTACCGGTCTCTTCTCTGTACCCCAGACCCAGCAGGACAGGTGAGAGCTGGGGGGGGGGATTAAGCTCATTGCCCCCCGATTAGGTCATTCTATCAACGCATATTCCTTTGTCCTCTTCAATAAAAGGGAAGAAGAAAAGTGAAAACTTCAAACCCATAGCTTCGTAGTTGCTAACTTAGCTCAGTGTTCCCATCTCTCCCTAGCACGTCTGTCTTCCTACCTGGGACTCAGATATTCATCACCAGATGATACAAGGCAGGCAAAGCCAAGAAATAATTTTTCAGACACATCCATCTTTTCACATTCTCTCTCCCTTTGGGGCAGTGGGCACATCCTTGAGTTCTTGAGCATTCAATGAGCACAGCTCAAAGGCCATTCTAACTCAGTTTTATAAAATTGAATTTTTTTAAATGAATATCTTCCATCTTAAAAGTTCCAAGGGTGTGTAACCTTGGAAGAATAAGAGTTTTTTTGGCCACATATTAAATAAATACACAAACATTGATTAAAAAGTGATGAGCAAAAATAAAAAAAGTCTGTGCATACTTTTCATAATATCGAACACCACAGTTAAGCAAAACACGCTTCCAATAATCTGCATGTGGGTTGCCGGTAGGACACCCTGGTTAGACACAAGTAGAAATCGTCATTTTTATGATAGTGATTTTAAGTTCAATTTTTGGAAAAGTTATAGGCTGTGCATAGATCATGTAGAAATCAAGACAGTAAAAGAAAGTAATTTACTTGGTTTTTGACTGAAAGGGAGAGATGGATAAATGGTGGAATCTTGGAGGAGTAACACAGAGAAATTTAATAGCCAAGTTGACCTGAAGATCTGGAGCTAACAGAGTAGAACATACCAGACCCAGGGGAGGTCTGGTTCAGAGATAAGGACTCTGAGTTAGGGAACAGCATTCTAATGAACACTGATAAGACAGGGTCACAGTAAACTGTGATTGATATCAAGTGAATGTTGGTTAGAAGACAGCAAATCGTACCTTACATTTTATTTCCTTTCCAGCACAATGTATGACTTTCATGTAACTGCTTGCTGCTGCTAAAACAATGTTTAGCAGGAAGAGAAAACATCTGCTTTAATTTTGTATTTTAGCCCCACTTTTTATCCCAAGAAATTTAAAACAGAAAATTGGTGACGGCATAAGCCTCATACCTTATTGTCTGAAGGTCTTAATTTTTGGATACATTGTAATAGGAAAAGGATAGATGGGGAAAGATTTTAGGAAGAAGACTTCCCTGAGAATTACAACAACAAAAACAAATGGGACTTAATTAAACTGAAAAAGTTCTGTACAGCTAAGGAGGCCACAACCAAAGCAAATAGACAACCTTCAGAATGGGAAAGATATTTGCATATTAAGAATCTGAGAAAGGCCTGATAACTAGGATCTATAGAGAACTGTAGATCAAATTAATCAACAGAAAAAGAGCTAACAAACTCATCTATCACTGGGCAAGAGACATGGACAGAACCTTCTTTAAGGAAGACAGACAAATGGCTAACAAACATATGAAAAGATGTTTATCGTCCCTAATAATGAGAAGTGCAAATCAAAACCACTCTGAGATATCACCTAATCCCAACAAGACTAGCCCACATCATAAAGTCCCAAAGCTTCAGATGCTGGTGTGGAGGGGGAGAGAAGGGAACACTTTTACACTATTGGTGGGACTGCAAACTAATACAGCCTCTTTGGAAATATGTATGGAGAATCGTTAAAGAACTGAAGATAGATCACCCATTTGACCCTGCAATCCCACAACTAGGCATCCACTCAGAAGAAAAAAAATCATTTTATCATATGGACATTTGCACTAGATTGTTTATCGCAACTCAATTTCCAATGGCCATCATGTGGAAACAACCTAAATGCCCATCAAGTCAGGAATGGATTAACAAGTTGTGGTATATGCACACCATGGAATACTATTCATCCATAAAAAGATGGTGACTTCACATCTTTTGTAATAGCCTGGATGGAGTTGAAACATACTCTTCTTATTAAAATATCACAAGAATGGAAAAGCAATTACCCAATATACTAAATACTAACATGAAGTCAGTAGATGACCCAATGCATGCCCATAGAGGAGAAAAACTCATTGCAATTCAAGTTGGGGGAGGGGTAACGAGGGAGGAAGGGGTCGAGGTGTTCTCACCGGCACACCTTTTGTGTGTGAGATGTAACCACAAGAGAGACTCTACCTAACAAAATCAAATATTTTGACCTGGTTGTTTGTACTTTCACATTAACCTGAGATAAATTTAC